AAATTTTCGATATAAAATGCAAAACGAAGTACGTGTGATGACCCAAAGGGTCATATTATGTTTTAGAACTCGATTCTGCTCTTTTAAGCCTCAAAAACCTCATTTTATTCCTTTTCGATTTGCGTGTGCAGTTCAAATGTGTTTCTGAAAAGCTTTTATATTGAAAGTTGATAAAATAATAATTTTTGCCTTTAAGAGTTAATTTAGTTGACTTCGGTCAACGTTTTGAGTAAATGGACCTGGACTCATGTTTTGACAGTCCTGGTGGGTCCGTATTAAAATATGGGACCTGGTCATATGCCCGGAATTGAATTTCGAGGTCCCTAGCTCGAGATATGAATTTTTGATGAAAATTGAAAGTCTGAAAATTAAATGGTTTCAAGAATTTGGTTAATGTTTGATCTCATTGGAATCGGGTCCGTATTTTAGTTTCAAAGTCTGGTACAAGTTCATTATCATATTTAAGACTTGTCTATGAAATTTGATGAGAAACGAAGTTGGTTTGACGTGATTCGGACGTCCGTTGTGAAAATAGGAATTTCAAAGTGTTCTTGAGAATTTCATTTGATTTGGTACTAAATTCATGGTTTTAAATATTATTTTGGAGATTTGATCGTATGAGCAAATTTGTATGATATTTTAAGACTTGTGTGCATGTTTGGTTTGGAGCCCCGAGGGCTCAGATGGGTTTTGGATAGGCTACGGAGTGTTTTGAACTTAGAAATTTTGCTGGTGTGCTTCAGTTCTGTTGCAGAGCCTCTGATCTCGCAATTGCGAGATCAAGCATCACATTTGCAACCACTGTTGGGTTCACATTTGCGACTTACTCATCGCATTTGCGAAGAGTAGCTGTGGAGGCCAATGTTCGCAATTGCGAACAATTCCTCGCAATTGCGATGGGAGCTGGGGAGAGATGTTCTTCGCATTTGCGATCACATGGTCTCAAATGCGGTCTTTCCTAGGTTCGCATTTGCGAACTATTTCTCGCATATGTGAACGATGCAGGGGTGAGAAGGGGTTCGCATTTGCGATGCCTCCTTCATATTTGCGAAGCCCAGATCGCATTTGCGACATCTGCAGCTGGGTAAATGAGACTTGGACGAGATTTTTCATTCATTCTTCAAAATTTCAAATCCTAGGACCCTAAAGGCGATTCTTCCAAGACCAATTCTTCCCTAAAACTTTGGTAAGTGATCCTAACCCACTTTTTTTCAATTTTCTATCACATTTCATAAATTTCCAATCTAAAATCTAAGATTTCCATGGTAAAATTTGGGGTTTTTGGGTAAAAACTAGGGATTTGAAAAATTGGGGATTTAGACTTCGAATTGAGGTCGGATTCCAAAACCAATTATATATTCGGGCTTGGGGGTGAATGGATAAATGGATTTTGGTTCGAACCTCGGGTTTTAACCAAGCGGGTCCGGGGTCAGTTTTTGACTTTTGGGAAAAGTTTGAGAAATTTAAATTTATGCATTGTAGTTGATTCATTTAGCAATAATTAATGTTATTGAGTTAATTGTGGGTAGATACGAGTGATTTGGAGGTGGATACTAGAGAAAAAGCGGTAATTGAGCATTGAGTGGCCCGCATAGCAAGATAAGTGTTGTGTCTAACTTTGACTCGAGGGATTAGGAACCCTTGACTTGTTTTCTATGTGAAATCCATGTGAGCGGCGTATAGGTGAGGTGACGAGTACCTATGTGCAGCCAATTTATCTGTTTCGCCTGTTTCCTTCCCGTTCTTCTTATATTGTCTTTTCCTGCCTTAAGCGCTACATGCTTTACTTGTATTTCTATGCCTAATTGCTACTTGTTAGATATTGTTTATCTTTGTTGAAAGTATTAATTCTTTCGTAGCTTCGTTGTCTCATATTATTTGTTTAAGTTATTGTTGGTACTTTCAAGGCATATTTTGTGGATTGGTCTCGTTGGGTAGTATTAATCGTATAGATTCTATATTAAGTGAGGTTTCTTTTTCTCGGTTCATTTTGGTAATTATTTATCATAAAGGCCTTGTGATTTAGCCTATTGATTTTATACATTGAGTGTTTGGTTCTAATATGATGGGATCGGGCTGCACGCTGCAGCAGGTGTAATAAGGGAGGATTGATATGGTGGAATAAGGGTGTATATATATATATNGTGGGACCAGGTTGCGCACCGCAACAATCTACATTTTTTTTTGTTGAGCTGTGTTGTTTTTACGATATTTTGTTTGAACTGGTAAGATTGGTAATTCTGGACGACACTGTTTTACTTTCGAGGCTATGGTTATCATTTCATGTTGGCTGTTTAATTCTGTACTTTATTTCATTTATTATGTCATTATTATATACTGCGTACAGGTTTTAGTGTAAGTGACCTGCCTTAGCCTCGTCATTACTTTGTCGAGGTTAGGCTCGGCACTTACCAGTACATGAGGTCAGTTGTACTGATACTGCACTCTGCACACTGTGCATATTTTGGAGTCGGTCCCAGCAGCGGTTACTAGCAAGCTCGGATCATACATTCGCGAAGACTTGAGGTACGGCTGTTCAGCGCTCGTAGCTCCTGAAGTCTCCATCATTGGCCTATTTAGCTGTGTACTTTCATTCGAACAACTTGTTGCTTATTTCAGACCCTTATGTGTATTACTCTAGTAGTTCGTGCACTCGTGATACCAGATTCAGGGAATTATAATAGATATTTGGCTAGTTCAGCTTCCGAATTGTTAGTTTAAAGTTATTCAGTTATTTCACTTCTTCTTTAATATCTAATTTAACTGTTAAAAAGGAGTAGATTGTTCTAATGTTGGTTTGCCTAGCAAGTGAAATGTTAGGCGCCATCACGATTTCGACGGTGGGAATTTCGGATCATGACAATACGAAACCTATAACAATGACATGCTCTGTTTAGTTTGAAGAATTGTCAATAAAATAATACTAAAATTTTGAAAAGATATATGAGCTTACTAAATCTTGGCTAAGAATGAAAGAATGAAGAAATCGAAATATTTAACAAACACTTGTTAAGTAAGTGAAAATACACGCTAGAATTAAATTTTTAAATAGACAAAAATGGATCATCTATAATAGCCATATTAAAAATTTAAATTTCAAGAAAGATCGCATATATGTCTAGTTAAAGAAAAAGTTATAAACAATTTTTAAAAAGTTTAAGTGTATTTAATAGTAGGATTTTTTCTTGATATTTGATTTTTCATTTCTGTTTGGTTTTTAGTTTTTCTTAAAAACTCATACACAGAAACATAATTGTTCAATCTTGAATAAATAGATAAAATTAATTGATCAATTAGTCAAACGTTTGGCTAATCTCTGACTAACTGATTAGTTGTTCTTGTTTGTTGGATATAAATGTTTGACTAACTATCATCCCAATTCATGATAATTAATCAAATATTTGTATTCAACAAACAAAAACAACTATTTATATCCTATATAGAACATGCAATAAAGTAATTTAACTATCAAAATAATACATAAATTATTAAGCAATTTTTTATTTCAATTTAAAATAAGTCTCTTTGGCTTACGCTCCAAAAATGAGTGGCGCCTAGGCATATTATCCCCGGAAGATTGGGACTTACACCGCCTTTGTTCACTTCAGAAAGTCTTAGCGCATTGCGTATGAGTCTTGTTCAAAAAACGCTTTTAAAAATAATTAGGTTCATTATAGATTTAGAAATATCATATTCACCAGTAAAGTCAATCATGGGACGAAAATACATAATCCACAACTTAGGGGTGAAAATCATTTTGATCCCCTAACTTTACCTTAATAATCAAACTCGTCCTCCAACATTAAATAATAGACATTATGCTCCTCCTATCATGTCCATCATCTATTTTACCCTTGAAATTTTCAATTCCTCCTCTATGCATATATTTTTTTATATTATATTATATAAGATATATTTGAGCTTTAGCTAAGTGTTTTACCAATTTAAATACCTTATTATGAATTTTATAATTGCTCAATAAAATTTAACTAGAATAGTACTTTTATGAATTTGTAACAAAATTTATCGTTACTTTTTTTATTGTTACTTTAATATTAAGTATATATTTAAGTTTTACTTTCTTTTTTATTTTTTTATTATGTGTGTGTGTGTATTCTTAATTAATGAAATATTTTCTAAATAGTAGAGCATCTAAGGTATAAATATGTTATATTTTAGGAATTTATTATGAAATCTCCCTCTATGTTTAATTATTATTTTTTATTTTTCTGCACTAACTTTTATTTGATTATTATTAATAAGATGTTTTATTCTAATATTTTAATTTCACCCATTACTTATGTTATTCAATTTCAAATGCATGCTTGATTATTGTGTTTTACTTTTTAAAAATTATAAAAGGTAACAAAAAAATGTAGAGACCAAAGCTGATAAGATTAAGTGTAAAATAAGTATTTAAAAATACAATTGAGTTTCGAGGAGTAGCATGTCTATTGTTTAATGTTGGAGGAGGAGTTTGATTTTTAAGATAAAGTTGGGGGAGCAAAATGATTTTCTCTCCAACTTAGGTAATAGAATAACAACAATTCTCTGTATCATGTACTCCCATCTATGTTAGGAAGTTAATTGAATTATACTCTTATATTAACAAAATAATGAATAGATATTACAGTATTAATAATTTTGCCAAATTTACATTAAGCAAGTTATTAAACGTCGTAAACAAAAAGAAACCAAAGTTGACATAATCCCCATGACCGCACACAGAAAAGGAAAAGAATTAAAAGACTTGAATTTATCTCCTATTTAGTGCTATGTAAAATTTAACTTAAATCAGAAAAATAGTAGTACTAAATATAACAAAATTTGGAATCAGATTCTCCTTTCAAACCGTTAAAATCTTTTGACACATGCCAAGACCAATCACAGATTTACAAGTCATCAACCAAGCTGACATGGCGTTTCTCCCTAGTAAATTTTTAGCATTATAAAAGAGACACCCTTTTTTCTCAGCTTGTCACATCCTCTATATTTCTTAGATACACATAAAAAATTACATACATATTAGAGAGAGTGAAAATGGTTTGGAGAGGGATTTTTGTGATTCTATCAGTTCTATTTGCAGTTTGTGTAGCAGTAGAAGAGAAAGAGCATGTGTTAACATTAGACCATACAAACTTCACCGACGTTGTATCCAACCACAACTTCATTGTCGTTGAATTCTACGCCCCCTGGTAATTATTTTTTTATCTTTTCCCTGCATGTTGACTTTTAGAATTTCTTTTATTTATTTATTTATTTATTTATCCAGAGACAAATTTATTTAGTACGAGTTCTGTTGGTCAACTGGACCCATTGTTTTCTGGCTAAAACTATGTATACATATTAAAAATTACTGTATAACTCTAGATTCAGAATTCACCTTTGCTTGTAATCTGTGTTTAAGCTTGTTGTGTGAAGGGTCTTGAAGATTTTTCTAGTATTAATTAACTGTATATGTGGGTTGTTTTATTTTTGCGTTATATATCACGATTTAAAGCATTTTTCTATTAAGGGTATTAAATTCATAATTTTTATATCCTTGTAAAATAAAATTAAACTTCATAAAATTCTTTGTATAGCTTTTTCTGTTCTCCCTCCGATTCAAAAGAACAAAAGGGAGTTCTTTTTATCAGTTTTGATGTGTGAAATGATATGCTATGTAAATCATATGAGTTCGTATAGCATAGTCTGTGGAGATTCTCTTAAAGAATCAAGATATAGATGGTTTTTAATGTCTTCAAGAACTGTATTCATTTTACGAGTATAGTATTAGCAAAGGATGGCCAATCTCATAATTTTCCTTCCCTTCTCAATATTTATGGATATCTAATGGTCCGCTTTCAATATAACAGGTGTGGACACTGCCAGAAACTTGCCCCTGAGGTACTATCTTCTTCTCTGAAAAGAAGGACATCGTTACTATTTATTTGACATTTTCCACATTTGTTGTTAGCCATTAGATTCTTAATGAAGCATTTTCCTCTCTTTTTTGCTTTCCAGTATGAAAAAGCTGCTTCAGTATTGAGTAGTCATGACCCTCCAATTGTTCTAGCTAAAATTGATGCAAGTGATGAGGCAAATAGAGGACTCGCAACACAATATCAGCTCAAGGGCTTCCCAACTATTAAGATTTTCAGGAATGGAGGAAACAATATTCAAGAATATAATGGTCCTCGCGAAGCAGATGGTATAGTAGCATATATAAAGAAACAATCAGGTCCTGCATCTCCTGAAATCAAGTCGAAAGAAGATGCTGCAAATGTCATCGATGAGAAAAAGATCATTGTCGTAAGTACTGTTTGTTTTTATCACTTACTCATTTCTCAGCATTCCATTTGTTCCTAACTAAAATGCATGTATTTTCTTTTAGGTTGGTATATTTCAAGAACTCTCAGGGGAGAAATTTGAAAACTATACAACATTAGCTGAAAAACTAAGAGCTGACTATGACTTTGCTCACACCGTTGATGCCAAATTCCTCCCTCGGGGCGAGCAAGTTGATAAGCCAACCCTTCGTCTCCTTAAGCCATTCGATGAACTCTTCGTTGATTTTGAGGTTGTATTTGTTGTTCCTTTAACGATTATGTGGTTTGATCATGACTTGTTTTTATTAGACTGGCACTTAACCTGTACTTTTCCAGGATTTTGAAGTCGAAGCAATGGAGAAGTTCATTGCAGAATCTAGTATTCCTATTGTTACTTATTTTGACAAAGATCCAGAAAACTCAATTTATGTCAGCAAGTTCTTTAATGGTATCGGCGCAAAGGTATACTCCATTCTTTGCTGATTTATTGTGAAATCTACACTTTCTGATACAAGAAGCTATATCCATTCTATTTCAATGACTAACTACTTAAAATTTGTGATATGCAGGCAATGCTTTTCGTGAACTTTAGCACTGAGCTCGACGCGTTTCAATCCAAGTATAAGGATGTTGCTGTGCTCAACAAGGAGAATGGTCTGAAAGGATTGAGCTTTCTGTTGGGAGATGTTGAGGCTGGTGAAGGTGCATTCAGTGTTAGTAACATTCTTTAAGCCTATCTGATAATTAGTACAGTATATTGGCTTTCCTAATGACTGTATAACAACATATGTTAATTATTCGTTTGCAGTACTTTGGGCTAAAGCCAGAACAGGCACCTCTGATCATAATAATGGAGAATGATGGACAAAAGTATCTCAAGGCACATGTAGAACCCGATGCAATTGCTTCTTGGTTGAAGGATTACAAGGTAATGGCTGCTGCATTTTTTTTGTTGGGATAATTACCTTATTGGGCCGCCCTCCAAAATAATAGCCGACAAATGTATATATTTTGAATATTAATATACATAAAATATACATAGATATACATAAAATATACATATGATATACATAACCATTCAGTGTATATGTTTTGTATATGTTGTCTAGCGCCTGTAATGGCCGACGGGACAAAAATAAAAAAATCCTTTTTGTGTTTATTGTAATTGTGTGTTCCATTAACATTTTCCTTGTATTTTCTCAATAGAGGAGTATGTCTTTTCATTTGTAGTTCTCTGCTGTCAATTGATGGCTTGCTAATTTCCTTTTTTGCTCAATCTTTCTTTCCTTTTTGCGTGGTTACAGGATGGAAAATTGAAGCCATACGTAAAATCACAACCTATCCCTGAGGTTAACGACGAGCCTGTGAAGGTGGTTGTTAGAGATACTCTCGAAAAAATGGTTCTCAACTCTGGCAAAAATGGTGTGTCAGTGTTTCTTGATTATGCATTTCTACTGCAGCTGTATATCTAAGGACCTACTAATAATGTTTTGCTTTTGGTTTGGCTATTCTTTCTTCCTTTGTTACAGTACTGCTAGAGTTCTATGCACCTTGGTGTGGCCACTGCAAGGCGCTCGCTCCAATCTTGGACGAAGTAGCTGTCTCGTTCGAGAAAGATTCTAATGTTCTGATTGCCAAATTGGTAACAATCTTTTTCCCTCCTCACTGGTTATATTACCAGTGCACATACATTCCTTCATCATGCTAAATACTATTTTGGGTCTATCGGAAACAGCCTCTCTACTCCGAGGGGTAGAGGTAAGGTCTGCGTACACACTATTCTCCCCACACTTCACTTGAGGGATCTTACTGGTCATTGTTGTTGTTGTTGCATCATGCTAAATAGTATTTGCGATATCCTAACTTATTTGCACTCTTCTTAATCAGGATGCAACTGCAAATGATATTCGTACAGATGAATTTGACGTTAAAGGATTCCCAACTGTGTACTTCAAATCTGCTTCTGGTAAATTGTCTCAGTATAACGGCGAAAGAACAAAAGAGGCCATCATTGAATTTATTCAGCAGAATCGCGACGATAAACCTGCTCAGTCTGAAGCTGATTCCACCACACCAGAATCAGTGAATACAGATTCAGCAAAAGATGAGCTATAAAGAGGTAATAAATCCTTGTTTTTCCCAACTAAAAAAAGGCAGCCCGGTGCACTAAGCTTCCGCTATGCGAGGGATCCGGAGAAGGACCGGACCACAAGAGTCTATTGTATGCAACCTTTACCATGCATTTCTGCAAGAGGCTGTTTCCACCGCTCACATGGCAACTGATGATTATAAATATTACTACTGTTTATGGATCAAGGGAAGTTCTAATATGTTTCTATTTTCTTATGTTCAGGTCTTTGCCATTCTGTCTCCATAGAGAGGACTCAAGTTTTGTCGTGGATTTGCTGCTTTCCTTTCTCTTTTATTTGAGTTTAGGTGTTTTTTTTTAATTACTGTAAAATGGTTGTATCATGTGCACCATTTTATTATGTATGAGGTGCAACTGAATCTAAATTACTATTATTATTATTATCAATTCACAACTTCCCAACTTGGCATTAATAGTCTTCAGTTCTCTTTGCTCAATGCTCCAGTGAAATTCAGTTCTCTGGTGAATAATTACTTCTTTGTACTAAAAACATTGATTTTAAATTGGTATTGGTGGTCATGAAAATTCTGACACTATTAAATATCGCACTTTAGCAAAACCATATTTTAAAAAGTACTCAATTATATATACCTTAATAAAAGAAGAAGACATTTAATTTCAAATAAAGTCTATACAGTTGTCCATATCTTCTGATCTAAGTAGGTGTTTGGACATAAGAATTGTGAAGTTCCGGAAAAAAGTGGAAAAAAAAAATTAAAGTAAAAATGATATTTGAAAATTAGATTTGTGTTTTTACATGTACACTTTAGAGCTGTTTCTGAATTTTTTTGAGCGATTTGAAGCGAAAATTTTGAAAATAACTTTGGAGTTACTTAAATTTCCGAAAAATTTCGAAATTCAACTTTAAGTAAAATTTGAATTTTTTATGGCAAAAAAAAAATGAATTTTTTATGGCCAAACAGTAATTCCGAGAAAAAATAAAAAATTTTCGTGAAAAATGAAATTTTCATGGCCAAATATTGATTCTGAGAAATTTTGACATGCTCATTCTGAACTTGATTCTAGATCTACCTTTACTTCAGATTTGTTACGTATTTCTTTTTTAGGCAGAAGTCATTTGGTTGTTATTTAAGATTATCTCACTCACAACTCTACATGACAAACTTCAACTTTTGCGGACTGCTGCTCTGTTTTCTTTCTCCTCTCCCCGTACCTTTTTTTCTCTTGATGTCAATTAGCTGGTTTTATATGCATCACCTCATCCTCATGTATGCATGCAACTGACTCGCAATTTGCAGTTTGAGTTTAATCTGATATTTATTTGACAATTCTTCTAATCCGATATTGACACCCACATTAAGGTCTCACTAACTCAAATTCACACTAGATAAGGCCCATTAAAAAGGAAGCGCTCCCCGCCAGAATATTTTTTTTTCATTCCTAGGACTCAAACCTGAGCAGTGGAGGAGCCACGTTTAACCAAGGAGTGTCAACTGGCACCCCTTCGCCGAAAATAATATTGTATTGTGAAGTAAACTTTCTTGCGCTATGCATTTATATTATATGTTAAATCTCATTGGGTTTTTTCGTTTATTTAATTTTTTATATTTTATTACCCCTTAGTAAAAATTCTAAATTCGCTACTGAACCCAAGACCTCAGGTTAAGGGTGTTGAGGGGTCCTATTCGTCTCACCACAACCTTGTGGTGAAAACTCTTTCACTTTAAATTTTTTTGCTTATTCTTAATGACATAATCTTATAACTAACATGTCTAAGATTAAAGTTTACTTTCTTAAACTCTCAGTCCAACTTAATATGCTGTCTTATAAATACCCAATAAAACATAATGTCATATATAACAAAGCAAATAGAGTACATGGTTTGATCGGGACTTACTACCCTACTTTATGCAAAGACAACAATAACATAAATGAAATTAAAAGGACCTAAAGACTAAACTTCTTCATTCTACGTCAAAATCTTAGCTATCATGTCTCTGCAACACTAATAGAACTGAAGAAAATCTACATAAACAGAAATGAATAAAAAGGACCTAATTAAATTAAAGATCTTCATCCTATTATAATCTAATTAGTACTAATATTGGCTCCTTGGGCAGTAAGAAGTACTATGCTTACCATAAGTTGATCATATGGTTATTGATCAGGGGCGAGTTCAGTGGCAAGTTCAGAACTCATAAACCTCAAATCCTGACTCCGCCTCTGTTATTGGCGACGCCATGACCATGGTTGTGGGAATTAACAGCAGCAATATCTTTCTTCATACCCCAATCATGAATCCTCAAATGAAGTTCAGCAGCAGCAATCAAGAAATGAACAGCTTGAATTGGTTTCAAAATTCCCAAAATCTCCTTTAGTGTCCTCAACCTCAAATCATCAGCCTTTTTTAAAACCTCCAATAAATTTTCCTCCTTTTTAGCAATATTATTCTTCACTTTTTCCTCCTCAGTTTCCTCTACTTGTCTTCCCTCTTCCCTTAATATTTCACTCACTACATGTGATAATTCAACCATTGATGTATCTGCCATTGTTTCTTGAACTTTAGCTAATCTTTCACTCAATTTTTTCTCTTCCTTTAATGTCTTATTTTGTAACTCATCAATTTTCCCAAGTTGAATTAATGCTGCTCGGTGGGCCGGGCCTGAACCGGACCGGACCGGGCCCGCGGTCCTAACGGGCCTGGTGGGCCTGGTGGGCCGGTCCTGGGTGGGCCGGTCTTGGTGGGCCTCTGAGCCCGTCACGGGCTGGTCTCCATGGTTGAGCCCACGAGCCCGGGACCGTTTGGCCCGGGACCGGCAGGCGGGCCTGGGCCGGTCCTGGCGGGCCTGGCGGGCCCAACGGCTATTTTAAAAAAAAAAAAAAAAAAAAAAAAAAAAAAAAAAAAAAACCTCACCACACATGGCACATGACTCGCTAAGGACGGTCA